GCATTCATGTCACCCACCCATTAGAATTTTGATATCGCCAGCTGGGGTGGGGTCTAGTCCAGTGTTGATTGCAGTTGTCTGTAGAATTCCTCCTTCTTCTCTTCATCTGCATTATTTGTCGGTGCCTAGCGTAGCATTGTATGCCTGTGACTTTCCTTCCTTTCGAGTTGAACCTTGCTGTCATGATCCTGATGCTGGAGGAGATTGGTCCCCACTGTATGAGAGAGAGCCTTCGATGCTCTCGGAAACATCATGACAGCCACTCCAAAACTCAGTGTGCTCATGGTTGTCATCTTGGTCACAATATTGGAGTAGATTACTGACTCTCTAGTTGACAGTTTGTAGAGTCCACTTCCATTCCACCTGCTTTCACAGAATCCTAGCACTTCAGTGCTATACCTTCTCATCTCGTTTGCAATCTGGGCAGCCTTGTTAGGTTCAAACATAGTGCGGACATTCCATCTCCCATGTTTACTTTCGCTTTCATCGAGAGAGAGAAGACACATCGGCCGATCGGTTTCCTGAAGGCTTTCACCAGCTGGCGTCATTTCACCTCTCCGAATCCAGTGAGGAATAAGTTTGTTTTTATTTTTTATATTTTGTCTGTGCTTTGAAGTTTCTGTAGTGTTTGGATTGGTTTTACTGGTTAGGGTTGCTAGCCCTATGCCCAACGTTCCCTCTTTATGGGGGCTTAGGATCAGCTAGTAACTAGTGAACTAGTTAACCAGGCAAGGTTTTGATAGTAACTGATATTATTATTTTATCCCGAATTTTTTCATAATATCAAATCTTAACTTGGTTTGGATATCTATCAACAGTAACTATTTAGTAAGTAGAACCATTAGGTTACAAACATCATGAAATTCATAGTTATAAATAAATAAAACTTGTGTCAGATATCATTCGGATATTTTTTACATACTTTACATTAGTGCGTCGAAGGTCAGTTATAAAAACTAATCATCGTCACTTGTTTTTATTTAAACTTGTACTAAGTAGTAAAATGAGTATTTCATCAGCAGTCATATCTCATTAAGTGATTATCAATATCAAACAGGAAAAATGTTGATTCACTATTGTTTCCTCTAGTAAGAGGAATAAAGCATCAATAGAACTAGTGATATTTCTAAAATCTTACTTCATTACATTCAGATGTATTTTCTTCTCAAGAAATCTGTTATTCAGACCAAAAAATTATTTTCACCGACTTTATCATTTTCTTCTTGTTCCGTAATATAGAACCAAGGATTACTAATAGTTTAAAGTTAATAATGGTTAGATGTTTTCAAAACTAACTTTAATTATGGGTTCGTAAACTAAATAATTTTATCAGATGACTTCAATCTCCACAAGTTTATTCCTTAACTTGGCTGTAATGTGTTTTCTGATGATAAGCACCAAGTATGTGAACACTAGAAGGATGAATAACTAGCAGGTTATAATCTGATTTTAGTCTCAATCATAAATTCTCAGTTTTACCATTTTTATTCTCTTGATAAGTCACATTACATTGACTAGCACTAACTAAACCTAAACGCAGTAAGACTATACTGACAATATTTGTATATCAGTAGAAATTTATTACAGTAAATGTTTCTTCTTTATCTCATGTGATTACTCAATATTTTGACCTTGTCGTGTGTCTGAGCTGAGTAGTGGGATTATGAAGCGTTCATTTTCCTCCTTCATAACATTGTCTATACAATGAAATATGAGGATTCATTTGTGAATCAAGATTTAACTGGTGATTTTCACGTCAGTGTTGTTGTCGCTTACTGTGTAACTCTCCTGACCTCTAACCTTTTTTATAATAAATGCCTGTTGGTTTCCAGTACACTTAATATCTCAACTTTAAGCGACTGCTCATAATCTCTTTACTTTTATTCTGTTCATGATTTCCGAATTGTTGATTAATAGGAGAAGCGAGAACCTTGCAAATAAACCAATAACTATAGATTTCCATTATCTTAATAGCTCATTAGATACTGGTCGAAAGAGTCACTGTTATCTAATGAGCTGTGTCGATAATCGTAACCTCTGAAAACTGATTTGAGTTATGAAGTCAACTGTATCATCATCATCATACAGAAAACAATATTTATTTTGCATGGTTGTTTTTTCACGCTAAACTGACATACAGGTTAAACTATTTTTTAAAATAAACAAAATTGATAATGAAATAAGTAGCCTGAAATCAGTTACTTTCAAGTTAGCAGTAATAGGTAATGTGAAAAGATCACGAAGATAATCAACAGATCATAGATTGTATGACTTCATTAGTGAAACTGATATCATTTGCGTATAAATGCTAAAAAGGCTTATAGTTACAACGGAGAACATGAATTCTTACTTCTGATCTCAGTAGTCGTATGGCCTATCCAGTCTTGCAACCTGAGAATTAGAACCGTCGATTACAATTGAATTCGCTTCTTAGATTATGTAGGGTTCATTTTAGAAGAGTTTAACAAGAATTTTACACGAAAATACAGCACATCATTTCTTAGTCGGTTAAAATTTTATTACAAAAATAGGAGAATATTGTGGAACACAGTAAGTGATAGAACATATTCCATAATTGAGCATTTCTTTTTTGGGCCAAAAGGTCAGCATAACTGTTAGGATACAACCTCCACCATCAATAAAGTTAATGATGTTGACGATGATGCAAAATTACAAATACAAAAGGCTGCATTCTCATAAATTAATTTTTGAGAGCCTTTCTTCAAACGACATCACGGTTATGCTAATGATAGAATTACGATGGTCAGATTGATATACCCTTGAACATTTAATGGCCTGTAAGTACAAGATTGGCTGAAATCTTCCGATTATAAAAACTGAATGTTCTGTAATTGAATAACAAAGAATACAAAAGTATCGAACAGTAGATAGTCATTTAAGGTAAAAAAAACACTAAACTAACTCTTGGTTTGTAACGATAAAGCAGTTTGCTTCATACAATTACAACTACCTTGTTAGACTATGTTTTCTTATGCATAAGTTTTTAAAAAATTATCTTCCTTAGAGATGAACAAAAAGCGAACTCTGAAACTAGTCATAAGCAGAAGTACATTCCACTGGCATATGAGTTTACAAAAACTAGGCAGGAGACAGTACATAATGCTTATGTTGACGCCTAGCCTGGTTGATAAGCAACTGGAAACTTAAACCAATTCCCTACTAATATTTATAAAAACTAGAAATGGTATAGTTGACAACTATTCACTGTGTCATCTGAAAATAGTCATACAAAATTTATTCATTTGATGCATGTCAGATAATATATATTAAGTCTACATATGAGTTGACTTGTAAACTTGATATCAAATAGAGGCTCACAGTAGAAATTACTTCCGTGAATAGTTGCAGAAGATATACTGAATCTGCTGGTTGCCTGGCAGCATTTGACATAACACTGAATACCTTAACCCAACGAATCTAGACCAGATATACGTAAGGTTGTCATAATATCCATGAGCAGAGATGCAGACATTGATTATCATATCAGGATAAATAGCTAGCTGACTGTAAGCGTCCTAGTAATGAAATAATAGTTGACATTTACTTGAACTTAGGAGTTTGTGAGGATTTATTAATTTTTTTCAAGTTGGTATAAATTATGGAGTGACATCGGTTGGAGAAACATTGGAAACCCGGGAGCACTGGACAGCTGTTTAATCCTAATATGGGATTCCTTAACAGTGACTTTTACGCTTTGTATTTGTATGCTGATCAGTTAACACTAGTACGAACGCGCTATTACTGAGTTACTTCTCGTACAGAGACGCTAAATGAATAAAAGGTCACAGAGTAATCTGAAAATATTTGTTTACATTGAAATAATATAAATTAATGGCCCCAGTAAAGACAATAAGAATTTAACTATTTTTTCCCTGTCTTAAATCTCAGTTTGAGTCACAGGTTTTCTATACTACTGATATTTAACTTCAGTAGTCGCTAAAATAATGTCATAATAGGAGTCTTATGGAAATATATCTCACCGGTACGATTCTCACAGGAGGGGAAGTTTATTTTATCAACATGATCTTGATTTCCGAAAATGGTAATACACTGCACCTACCTAAAACCAACATATTTGTGTTTGAATGTAAATGAATATTTCGTCACACAGTTATCCATACAAAATTGTTTACACAACTTGAACTTGGTTACCCTCCAGTGACCAATCAATGCACCTAGTCCAGTTCAACGATAGGTCAGACAAGGCACGAATAGCTCACTGGGGTAGCATCTCCTGCTTCAGCACTATGTGATATGGGTTCAAATCTCACAGGGGATATCAGTTCCCGCTCCACTGCATATACATCTTGCTGACGAATGCCTAGAAACACGAAACCTAGGTCCTAGGCTCGCTGCCGATTGTATCCACTCAGCTGACGAAGTTTCACACCAGTTGGTCAGAAAATGAAAGTCACTGCAGTTGTTAGATCACAAGTATTGACTGAAGTCTTTTGATCACGTGTCGTGCTTGTTATTTTATCTAAGGAAACTAAGTTCTTCAAGACAAAGTAGTCATCACGAAATAAACGTGGTAGTTAGTTACTTTTTGTAGAGTATTCAGAGTTAAAAATGTCACTAACTAAACAATGAGTTCAAATCTCCGGGAAGAGCTAAGTTCTTCTGAAGTTGTACATTTATTTTGTGGCTACATATCAATAGCCGAGAGATCCAGGTCAAGTAAAGCTGCCGCTTGACCCTAGATGATCGCCTAACATCAAACAAGCAGTAAGAAATCCTTCGATCTACTGTCATATTGCTAGAGTCAGTTGATAAATTTTAGCCAACACTGTAGACAAGATAGAATAGTAACCACTGACATCTGATTAATTTTCTGAAAGCAGTCAGTCAGTAAACATTTTAAGTCTTGCACTAGGTGCCGTAAATGTTACTATTTATCTCTATATCATATTGTTTAGATAAATTTATCTTCAGTTATTCTTACACAGTTTACCTCTATTTTTATTGTTAGCCAATACAAAATGAATAAAAATGAATTTACCACAATCGATACTCCATATGCAAGTGAACAAGCTGGTCAGAATACTGCATCAATATTTACATCAAGAAGAAATTTTATGGAATGGTTTCGGTCATATTTTGATAGATCACTGTTAATATTTCAATTGTTTTACTTCGCTTACTATGCTGCATTCGGTTCTTTATTTCCATTGATATCAATATACTTTAAACAACTTGGATTGAATGCTTTCCAGTGTGGTATTTTAAGTGGGACACGTGCATTAGCTGAATGTTTTGCTGTACCATTTTGGATTGCGTTAGCTGACAAATGGAAAAAGGGTAAAATGTTTGTCTTGGTCAGTTTGATCTTTGCAATGGCCTTCACATTAGGCTTGGGATTTGTTCGTCCAACACCAGAAGGTTGTCTAGTTAGTTTACCAAGATCATCGAGACAATACAATACTACATCAAATGGTGATGACGATGGTCTCATTCTGAGCATCATTCAACCCTATAAAGCATCAAGATATGACGACATCAAATCCGTTGATATGGATAGAGATTTAGCCTTGAAAATTAGGAATCAATTAGGACAATCTCCACTTTATTTGGATACTAAACTGTTGGTGTCCCCACCGAAAATGAAAGCTACACGTTGGGGTATAGGTGTCGGTCAACAAACTGGTGATCAAAACCTGTATGCAAGAACACAAGCTTATCATGATCCGACACAATATCCACCTGGTAGCCTTGTCATGCCTCTCTATTCAACTGTTGTTTACAGTCAAACGAAAATTAATCAAATATTCATTGTCATTTTATTGCTATTATTATTTGGAGAGATTATGTCATGCGCTGCTATACCAATAGTAGATGCAGCTGTAGTACAACAAGGTGCGACCGAAGTTTGTCACAGTTATGAAAGACAACGTATATTTGGTTCTATCGGTTGGGCATTGTCAATGTTCTTCATTGGCTTGACACTGGACCACTCAACAAGTTTTCCAGACTATCCATGCTTACATCCTGGTTATCGTGAAAAAAACTACATGGTTTGCTTTGCCACATATTCTGTATTTATTGCATGCGCACTATTTATCGCTACACAATTCACATTTCAATATGAAGGTGATTCAGAGAGTATGTACTTTAAACTAGTCAAAGATAAAATGGCTAAGACATTTTTGGGAAGAACAACTAAAAATCGTTCAAAATTAGTCAATGAAGACGATGATGATGCAGATGCGGTTGCTGGCACTGGTAGCAGTAAAGATTGGAAACCTAATGATATATCAGATGAATTTGAAAAAGGCACAGTTGTTAGTGGAACAAAATCAAAGCAAAGTAATGAAGAGATCTTAGAACAACAACTTGGCATAAAATTTGATCGTAAAAACGGTGGAAATGTGTTAAGAAGTCAGACTACAATAGATGGACAACAAGAAGAGTTAGCAGCTGCAGCTCAGTTAAAGGTAAGTCGACCAAACATTTACGCGAATATACATTTGTTTGTACATGCTACAAACAAATCTAACACATTTAATAACGAAAAAAAATGCTGTGAGAAATGGCGCAAATATATTTTTTCACTTGAGACATAAACGAATAAAGATATTTGTCAGAGCTTATGTGAATTCATTCAACAAACAGACAACGTTTTTTATGACCATTACAAAAAAAGGGCATTTGATAAAGACAAATAATGATCTTGAGTGATGATTGAAGATAAATTAGAAATTTGATCCACAGTGGGATTTGAACCAGCAAGCACCAGGATTTCCTGCCCGGTGCTCTACCATATGAGCTACGAGATCCAACTGCTGACAAGACATTTATGCTACTTCACTCACCAAGGTTCTGCCCGACTATCATGTGAATTCTTGATGCGTTACTATTATTTTGTTGTACTCACACTGGTTGACCAATCAGGATTTCTCACCCCAATCGTAGTAGGAGAGGCTAATAGTTTACTTTGTATTATATTGGAATTTCCAAGAAAACTTGTATTTGCATAGTATGTAGTTAGTAAGCAAGGTTGCCTACTATCACTCATGATATTCCTGATTGTGTTGTGGTGGACTGGATCATGCAGCAAACCATGAGCAGCTGTGAGAAGATGGGCGTACGCTGGACCAATGAGAAGACTCTAGAAGATTCGGATTTCGCCGATGATGATTTATGTATTATGTCTTATCGCACAAACTCGAACATCTCCAGGTGAAAACTAACAGGTTGACAGAAGATGCGAGACGAGGCAGCGAAGACGGGACTTCAGGTGAATATAAAGAAGACAGAGGTGATGAAGATACCCCACCAACAACAACAACAACAACAACAACAACAAGCTCCAATCACCATCAGTGGGAGAAACCTAAACGGAAGTAGCCTCCTTCACCTATCTAGGCAGGCAGCATCGTTTCAACTACAGGTGGCACAGGCACAGATGAGGATGTCAAAGCCAGCCAGGATCGGAAAAGCAAGACAGGCTTTCATCAGCCTGAAACCAGTGTGGAGATCTTCTGCACTCAGCATGTGGAACAAGATCCTGATTCTCAACACCAATGTCAGGTCAGTGCTTCTGTATTGCTCAGAAACTTGGTATGTCATGAAAGCATTTCCAACAAACTACAGACATTCACCAACAGCTGCCGCCTTCGCTAGCTCACTGGATACTCACACTGAATATCAGATGGCCAGAATAATAATAATAGTAATAATAATAAGCAACGAGGGACACTGGCTAGCAACGAACCAACCAAGAACCTATCACTCAACAAATGTGCAGAAGGAAGTGTAGATGGATTGGGCATAGACTGAGAAGGCCGATTGGTGACATGATGAGCCAGGTCAGGTCGTCGAGTGGAATCCAAAGGGGAGACGACAAGTTTGGCGTCCGTGTTGAGGGTGACATGGAGGAGATCTTGTGAGGAATAAATGAAAGCTTTTGAGGAGTCGTGGTTTCAGGTCCACAAGACTGAATAGAAAAGAGTGCAATGGAGGTGTGCTACTGCAGCTCTATGTTCCACTAGGAACCCAAGGGAAAAATAATAATAATAGTAGTTAGTGAAGGGATTAATTTCTCCTAATCAGCAAGAGAAACATTTTTAGTGTCATTGCTTGTATTATGTGATCAGATTTTCACCTCCTAATTCAAGAGTACTTAATTTCAATATTTCCAAAAGCTAGTAATGTGTTTGGATGACTCAATAGGATACTAGATATCAGTATTATTACCCTGTTATTCCTAACATTTAAAACCACTTATGATATTGTCATTCTGCTGTAAGTGAAGTATCCACTGCCCATTTCGATGCCATTTATCTGAAACTGATTAGCAGGTGGAATCCTAGATATACCTATTGAGGATTTTTGAGCTTTTTGGATGGTGATTTCAATAGCACAGTGTTGTTGTTCTCATCTAAATTCAACCTTAAACCTCATCTTTTTACGTGCTATAGCGTTATCGACTAGACTACTGAGTTACAAAGATCACCCATTCTGCATTAGGCAATAATTTATATTGACACTTTATAGTCTCACTTTGTTTGCCCTACTAAATCATTAAGATTGCCATCTAGTGGTGTGTATGGCTCAATATCCCCTGAATTTCCGTTTACTGTTATATATCAGTAGCCGAGTGAATGATGCTCTACAGAGGGAAGTAATAAGTGCTAGATGAGTGCATAAATAAAAACGATAGCCTATTAAAATATCGGCAAATCCAACTAGCGGGCACCAAACAGCAATAAACTTATTACCACTTAGATTCCACCTTTGATCATCAATAAACATACAGTGACAAAGCATGACCCAGTTATCCCCACAGATGTTCTGTTATCTAACAAAGTTTAGATATTTCTGTCCATTAATGTGAAATTTACAACATTCAAAATATTGGAACTGGAAATTTAGCGCATATAAACCGACTAATGTTGAATATCAAACTGATTTTAACATTATCATGGAACCATACATATTATAAATTAAAGATAATCTTATTGATCCGATTGCCTACTTTCCAATTATATAAGTGAAGAAAGACTGAAATTCAAAGCATTGACAAAGGGAAATTACACGGTATACTTATTCATTGTTCATTTCATTTTTCATACGCCCTTAATTTCTTCTTATTTTATCGTTTTAAATTACTCAAAGACGATTGTTTCGATCGAAGTAGACAGATGATAGCATTAGGACTGCACAAGTTTGAACATATCCCCTAACACACATTTTATGTGTTTCAATTGTTACAGACGGTGGGTATGAATTCAATAAATTAGAATTTATTGAAACAGTCATCTCTCAGACTACGATCTGTTGAATAAAGAAGAGAGTGATAATGTTATCTTGTCAACTATTTTGAAAAATGAGTTGTTTCACACCAGTTATATACCCCTGAAACTGTAGTTTCTGTTTTTGTTGACAAGACTTTATAAATGTTTTTTTAAATATTGATCGGTTATAAGTCGTGTACATAGTTTATGATAAGTCCTGACTAGGCAACCAGTATGAATACGTTCCAGCGGCAGTAACGCATCACGGATTCACATGGTAGTCGAACAAAACCCTTGGTTATTGAAGTAAAACAAGGACCTGATCAGCAGTCTGACCTTGTAGCTCAGTTGGTAAAGTATCAGGCCGGAAACTCGGTGGTCGCTGGTTCAAAATTCCAGTTCACTATTCTATTATCACCCGGTATATGTGTACAGTTCTTAGCTTCTTTAAAACGTTTCGATCAAATATCTGCAGATGTATTGATAAATATTGTATCGTATTGGTAGAATTAATTTGTGAAGCAGTGGCAAACAAGATTTGTTTATTTGATATACCATATGGTGATACAATATTGTCCACCTAGTGAATCACATATTGTGATACAATAAATAATTCTGTACAACTGTGTGCTATACATTAAATAAATAAATCTAATATGGAATCAGATTCTACCACAGTGTTCAAGTCTTACACATATAGCCGTAAACAAGATCTCCAATCACTTTATGTTCGTTTTACTGACATTCTGAATTCAGAAACTTTAGTTATCGTATTGAGCAGTTTATTCATCACAAACCTTCAGAAAAAAATAGTATTCTAACATGCTCAGCAAACAAAGCCTGGGATACTGATGATCTTTAATACATTCATAGTGGAAACTTTTCAGTTAAATAAGGTTTCTCCATTTATAATACATTTCGTTTCCCTTTTTTATAACTACAAAACATGCATTAAACCTTTTCTCATTTTTCTCATACTCTGTCATTTGAATATACAGGTAACAAGATGGTTCCATGCATTAAAACAGTTTCGTCAACCTCGACTTCTCCTATTCCTATTCGTTATCTGGTTTATGGGTTTGGGCTTAGGGCAGGTATTTACTTTCCTTTTTGGCATATGCAAGAATTGAATGGATCACCTACACTGTTTGGAATAGCATCAGTCATAAATCATGCATCAGAAATAATTATGTATCAATTCAGCAAACAAATAATTGATAAAGTTGGTTAGTTTGTTTTTTATTGTCTATTTTGTTTGTTGGTCAGTTAATCGTAATTGCCGGAAATTATGTACCTGTTGAATGAAAGTGCTTGAAAACAAATTTAAGCGAGGAACAATAGTTTAGAAGTAGTATTCATCGTGGACGTACATCAGTTGGGGGACCATTGAAAATCTGGGAGCACTGGACAGCTGTTTCGTCTAGTATGGGACTCCTCAGCAGTAAGCACCCACGACTCGGCTAGGGGTCGAACTCAGGACCTTCAGGTTTCACGGCGAACGCCTAGTTTTAAACACAACACAAAGTTTCAAACTTGTATTTCGTTTACTTGCGATACTCATCTCCAACATGAATTAATACCATCGAGAATTCGAAGAGCATTATTCATTGTAGTGGTAAAAGACATTATTTATCTTGAATGTAATCAACTGTAAGCATAACAAAGCAATTCACTAGTGTAATTCATAAGCATAAAGTCAGCTGATCAAAACCTTTACTTTCAGATGCATGAAAAGGAACCTGAAGGTTGAAACAGCACATTTAAGTTGGCCAACAGTATGAAAGAAAACTAAGACTTTAAATTGTGTTCAGATAGGGGGGAACAATGAAAATGTCTTATGAGTCTGTTAGCCTCCAAATCAAACTTTTTGGTTTATACAATAAAAACGTTCAGCTAAATAAAGTGTCAAGTCATGAAACAAAATCAGTAAGGCGTCAATAAAAAGGTATTCTACAAGATCCATTACACTACAGTGGGCATTAATCTATACTGAGAATTAAAATGGGATATAATCTCATTGGAAAGCCATCACGTTTCTGAATGATTTCAGAATATTAAAAATTTCCACTTTATTCCAGTTTTTTAGAAGTGTTTGTTGAGTACTACTCTGCCATTCCATTGGTGAGTTACTAAGATTTCAGAACTTTGTTTGATCATTCAGAACAGAAGTCATTCTGTCGATGTGATCGCCTCAATCCAACAAAACTACATCTTCACCGTTATCTTAACCATAAATTATTAGGTTTCCCAATTCCTTCCACAAATAGGTATATACATTAATGTAAAATACCTCTGTGAATCCTTTCTGGTCTGGACGACATAGATATAAATGAATAGCATCTTAATCGCCTAATTTTTATCATCATTCACTAGTCTATTATTATAACACACAATAGTTTGCGTTGACAGATATCAAGAAAGTGAATTGATGTCACGATTTTAGGGATTGGTCTCCAGAGGTTGATATTTTAAGGTACAGTGAATATACTTCCATTTTAGATTGTGTATTTGATTGATATACCACATAGTGGTACAGTATAATTTACTGGATGACGTTTCTAACAGAATTTATTGCTCATATTCATATCATATCACTTTGATATGAATATGAGCAATAAATTCTGCTGGAGAAGCTATGTGTGCTCTACCAATCAAATAAAGAACCCAATGTGGAATAATGCTCTACAACAGTCCCAAAGTCTTTCTTTTACATTGGATGTATATTTTCTCTTCAGTAACACACACAAGAGATAAATTTATAAGATTGCTGTGGATCCACCACTAGGCCCGAGCGGAAAATGGGACAATTAAATATGTCCTAAGTGGATTGAATATGTAACTAGATTATATTGACAACATATACAAGGCATCGATAAAAGGGAGGCATTAAAGAGATTTCATAATATACTCCTTTCATCAACTTTTAACAGTGAAGAAACCACACTTTTTGAATGTTTCGTCAAACATGAGAAGAAATATATAACAGAGGAATGTACGTAAATACCACATCTGTATGTCAATACACACATTTTTCTAACCATTTACCTATTCAATTCAAAGTAAACGAAGTTAAATGCCTTATTCATACGACAGAAGGAATGTGGTGAGACGATTTGACACATACGGAGTCATAATGTGTTCATTATTCCCTGACTGAAATAAGCTATCCTAATAGGGTTATAAAAAGTAGATTGACAAAGTGAGGAAAACTAGACCTGAATCAATCAGCATTAAAAGAACCCAAGCATTCATGAAATCATATCTAAGTATGGATGCAGCCAACAAAGTGATTTTTCGAATGCTTTTTAAAGCTATTTATCTGACATTCTATGCTGCCAGACTACTTTTTTATGATTTTATGGCCAATCTACTGTTGCTGTTAAACCAAAAGATGTGACTTAGTTCCAACATTTCCACGCTCCTGCTTCGGAGAAGCCTGCATACAGCGTTCGATTAGGTAACTTAACAGATGTGTTGCTAAGGCGCCAAGCTTAAAAGAGAGACACAAATTCCACAAAAAGCTAAGTCTTATCACGTTTAGTCAGTAGTGGTGACACAGTGAACAGGACTGATGCTTTCAAGAGTAAGTATCACATATCATTTAACCTTTTATCAGGCTTATCAATGCGACTAAATTGGATAGCTGCGGCTTAGTAGATTCGTACTGTTGGTACTACATGGCGACTGTAGACGAGATGAAAATCTGGATTGAGGCAGGGCTTGAAACAGAAACCAAATTGTATTTGAACTCAACTTCAATTTATGGTAAGAGTTAAGGGAATTATAAATAATAGTTCAAGCCTTCGTGTCTGGGACACCTCTGTACATCCTTCACATGTCTCCTAGCCACAGAAAACCTAATAATTAGTTTTACTATCTTGTTGTATATTCCGTCGCCAACTGTTATATTTTCGTAAGACAACGATTATATGTTCCGAACGAACATAATACGCACACTTAGCTGACAGCCAACTTAGTACACAAGAGGCATTGACTACAACCCCGGGATGAATAGAGAGATGACCGAAGCTGGATGATGGGAGAGCTTATCACTCCGAGAACATAATAATCAATCAATCCCAAACCACTTGAATATGTATAAACATTACATATGACCTTGTCCGCAAATGAAGACATTGGCATAGCAAGAGTAAAGGTTAACCAATCAGCGAATTACATTACAATGGAGGCAAGAAAAAACTGCAAGTCACATCGTAAAAATAGTGTGGGAATGCCAAGTCAAAAATGTTCAGATCGATAACAGTGATTTGTACAAAACTGGAGCCTTACGACACATTCAGATATTTCAATTTCTTTCCTATTCTTCACTTCTCTAATGTACCAGTCATATTTACTAAATTAATTACAACTTCGTTGATCCACTTACCTCATCCTTTCGATTTCTCACAATTTTTATTCTTTTTAGTTCTTGACTCGTTGATCACCGAAAAGTCTAGATTTTCATTATATATATATATATATATATATATATATATATATATATATATATATATATATATATATATATATATACGTTCTATAAATATATTCAGAACTCCCGATATATATGTATATATAAACGGTTGCATTTGACTCAGATAATTACCTAAATAGACATATTTGTCTGAATTGGAAGTGTATGAACCAGTTGTATGGTAGGTAGAATGTGTGTTTATTAGGCAAGTTAGTCTACTAGTTACACAAAGTTTACAGTTAATAATAACTTAGTCATGAGCTATAAACAAAACAATAATTAGGTCAATAATAAAGTCACAATAGCTGGACAACAAGTAGTTACACCCGATATTTGTTTTTGATAGAATATCTCGAAAGTGGGAAAGATATTATTATTTTTCAAAGAAATAAAAACAAGTTTTCAAAATTTTCTCACATCTTTACTAAAGATCCAAGTTTACGCACTTGATATCCGTGAGACTGTTTGAGATAGCTTCGGTTGATAGATTAGTAATGTCAAAAAAACTGAAGTCATTGAGGCATTCGAATCCGGTGAGTATCAGTTTTATCTTAACACTTCATATCCAGTAATTTACAACAGAATCTTCAGTTCTTTCATTTATTTAATAAAATCTCGAAGTATGGCTGCTACCGTGACACAATAACTATATTCATTTCTGTGCGCTGCCAAGTAGTCATTATGTATATCAACATAAAGCTCAATGTAAGTAGTTTGTAGTTGAAAACTGAAGCTACGAGGCAAACAAAAAGAAAATTACAAATAATTAGTAGACTATCCTCGGAAGATAATCTGAATACTGTAAAAATACCATTTCCCGTTGTTTGAAGTAAATTAAACAGAAAACTGACGAGACGAAAGAAATGAATCTCGGTATCATAAATTAATTTCTATCTTACTAACTGTGATTAATGTAATACCGAATATTATCACAAATGTTGGGTGCTAAGTGAAAAGTCAAAGTAGTTTGAACCAGATTTTCAAGCGAAAGATGAATTATTATATCCCAAAGATGCCGAGATTTATACAATCATAAACTATGTCCAATGTTTCCTTATCAATTAATTCTTTCGATCTCATTGATTCAATCAAGAAAGACCTATTCAGGTCGTAAAATCGACAAACAATTATGAAATTTCAAGAGACTGATCACTAAGCACTGAAAAACACATTTCTGTTAGTGTATTGCTTCTAACCTAAGTATCAATCTGCTTTCAGTAAATATCTGAAAACAAGCTTGTTTGTTTTACCTTAATTTGTCATTTCTAACAATTATATGCAAAAACGTTTTACGAAGTAGTGTCTTATGACATCTATAAAGTGTTTTTATCTCATCATGCATTACTAGATGTTATCAAAATATATTGAGGTACACTATATCAGTTTGGAAGTCTGAGGATTCATAATGATTAACTTACTTCAATTATTTACTCACTGCCATAGATTTCAAATATAGTTCTTAAGTAACATAATTCGATAGTAGTAAGCCTATATCCAAACATGCAATCAATTTTCTGTCTGTTAGTCGACCTATCTGTCTATCTACTTTTTTCTTTATCTTGTGTTTCACTGTATAGATGAAGAGGTCTTTGATTGGTCAACTAAGCTTCTGATCAGATTTAGCAGTTATACGAGTTGGTTGATTAGAACAACTGTGGATGCTTTTAGCTTTTTAAGGAATTTTCCGATAAATATGAGAATGACTTTTTGGAATAAAAATAAGCTTCATTTCGATGATATAATTCAAATGTGTAGCATTTCAGAAAAAATGATTTAGTATGAATAACAACTTAACAAATGACAATTTGGCCGGCATTTCCATCCTACTTTTTTCAATAAAAAACAAGTCCATGCTTTCAGTGATACAAATCGGTTACAAATTGGTATCTTTAAAGTTTACATGTGGAAAATTTAACATATTGGATAAGTGAAATGACTATCTAGGAAAGAATATGATGCGAAATATTTAACCAAGTTAGTGAGACAGTAGAATTGCTCGCTGCCCGGATGGCTCATTGGTAAATTCTCGGGTCCGAATCTTGGGAAGTCAGTTCCCTCAAGGTTGCGGATACCCCTCGCTGACGACTGCCGACAAGTACGAAACCTAAGTCCAGGGTTTTTGCCGACTGCCCTCAACTAATAACCATCTGTTAATGTGCATCGCGATGATGAGCTTCCTAGCTTGGTGATCACACTGCAAATATGATCTATAGGATTAGGTCTACACTTGGGACTAGACAACATGAAACTGGTTGCTCTCCCGTGACCATTCAATGCAATTACTCTGCCTGAAATATATAACAAGCATACCAAGTCACTACATACTTCGACGTACGTTGTTGCTTGAATTATGACTTGGTTGTTGAACAACTAGAAGGGTGACTTGATCAATGTATAGGAAGGAGCAATATGTAAAGTTTTTCGACTATTAGTTTAAGCCATAGTAAATGTTTGGTCCTTCGGGTATTAAAAATCAGTGATTATTTAACTTCTGTTGAAGTCGGTCACACTATTTTTGATGCAATCGACTTTTCCCATTTGAAAAGCCGAACAGCTGACTGTTCTATTTATTTCCCCTCTTAATCCACGCATAGAGTTGTTGTTCAAACTGATGTCTTTGAACTTCCGCTAACTTTGTCGAGAATGTGAAATTTTGAACCTTTACAGTTTTGTGCAAGTTTATACTCCGTCTGCCTACCTAAAATGTAAGAAGGTTTCGCTCATCTTCATATTCACGAATGCGGCTGTTCCGAAAACCATACCAAAGTGTCAATCTGAGGTTGATACTTTTTCCCTAATTTAATAGGGATAGTTCCTCATAAGCCATAAACTATTTTATTCAGATAAGTCTCGTAGTAACTTAACAGACATGTGTAAAGAGTCATCAATAGCTTTTAAATTTTGTGTTCTTCAGCAGTACATTTATACATATTTGGTTCCCACAACATTGACTATTAAATGTAAATGTCGAAGAGAATACCTTTTATGATTAAAACTTCTTTCTCATACTTTAAGGTCACTTGAAAGTGCTATATTTGGGACTAGTTGGCAATGTGGCGAGATTTCTTTATGTGTCCTGGATCACAAATCCCTGGTGGATTCTTCCATTCGAATTTATACAAGGTAATTTGTTAATTTTCTTGTTGTCTACTCTAAAGCTTTCTACTAAACAAAATGTCACTTTACAATATGACAACCCATATGTACGCTGAAAGAATGAGATGTGTTCTATGTACATCATAGAGTGAATTTCAGCCACTTACTGGTGGATAAACGATGTCTAATACTTTATCAAAATATTCTGAAGGTTTTTTTCAAGTTTCATTGAACACGATAGCTAGATCATGCGTTTATGTTTATTAACGCATAAGTTTTTCACTCCTAATAAAGACAAAACTTACTTGACAAAGATATCAGTAATATATAACAGCGATTAACATCGCTATAAAAAATTGTATACTTTTACAAAGCTTCGGATTTCAAATTTTCCCACATTAGTGTTCATTAGATTCGGAATATGAAAAAACAGCTATAATATTTAAGACATTTTTATTGGCATATAGTGAAAGACAGTTGGAGGAAGTAGAGAAGATGAGAAATATTCTGCAATTTTCATTAGTCAGTGCATTCCTAAGGCTGCAGAATAATTAGACTGGTTTCAACCGTACCTTTTCAAACAAATCTAATAGCAGGAAAGTATTTCAAAAACGTTTGATTTTTGCAGTTATTCAAGAAGAGCCCATTTTTATGTGGTTGATGAACCACAAAAATTATTCACTAAACAATAACTTCAAGAACCCAATCATTTTTTCATCTGGAGTGCTGTTGAACTGTCAATCTTATTTGCTTTATATTTCATCAATTAATAGATAATTCATCAATGAGAAGACTGTAATATCTTGTCATTTATAAATAGTTACTTCTGCATACTGACTGATGCAAGTTACCTGTAGTGAATATTGTATAAAACAACATGACTGAGTATTTTCAACGCTACATTTCAATATTCTTTAGTTTATCAGTGGCATGGAGTTGACCACAATGTGTTCTAGGTTATATAAACAGTTTATACAAGCGTTAAGTCATAAAATTAACAGCCCATGTTAAAGTGAAGAGACTGAATTTAAAATTTATCGGGATAATGATAGCTGCCGTAAGTCACGTATTAAAAAACTTTTGATAGCTGTATTGTCTAGTCTCAGTTCGGATCAGTAGTCGATATTTAACTAACGTAGGTGTGGCATTCAAAAGGAGTCAGAGTTTTGTAGTTATATCATATTAGTCAGTTGTCGCAATAAGTTCTTTGGGTACTTTCATAATTTCCCATTCTTTATTTGACTGAATCAAACTAATAGATCCTTGTTGGCATACAGACTCTTCAAAGGATCCTTCGATGTTACTTCAAATTTAGTTTTGGCTTCATTTAGCTGGTGATTCTTAGCAGTGTAATCCAGATCCAGTAGAAGCAGTCCTGCTCTAAACCTCACAATCTTAAGAAGTTAGCTGCTGTCAGCTTAATCACCACTAAATATTATGATCTTACCATAAAAACATAAGGCATCAATCATATTTCCAACACGTAATATTTAGTGTCTGTAACTTATTCAGTTGATCGAGTTTAAGCGATCTGAAACGGCATGAACGATAAAGTATTGCCAAACTAGTTTAAGGTACTCAATGAGCCACTCAGTACTGGATGGAGAGAATATTCCACCCGAATTACTGACCGTGTCATGTTAATCCCAAATGATCCCTTGAATGTCTTCAACTATCGCAAAACTAGCTTATCATACGTACTGTTAGAGTCATTCAACTATTCTCATTCGAGTAATGATGTCAGCGTTCTGGTAAATGGATTATCTCTTTACAGGTAGCATAAATTTGAATCTTTTAACGTTTACGGGTGTGAAGGTATTCTAAACGATATGCTTGGACAATTCCAATATGGTCGTATACTTTTCATATTCAAAGTTCTATGTTTTATAAATATGAAACATGATTTGTTGATTACTTTTCAGTAAATTAGAGTAATTAATTATGTTCTTTTTTCAAATTACTATATGTTTGATTATGACTTACAACTATTATTTAAGGGGTGACAATACTAGCCAATTTTTCCAACCGAACTATCCGGAACAGGGTTCGTACTCATAGTGTTCTAGGTGGTTCATAGTCAATAGTTTTGACCAAGGAATTACAGCTCCATATCTCGCATAGATTAGGACTATATTACTGCCTATACAATGAACCACTAGTTTTAGTGTTGACAACTGACTGTCCGCAAATTAGAGTAAAGTGTAAATAAATTTAACAAACATCCACAATGAAATAAAGAAAGTGATATACAAGAGTGACAAGCAGATGGCATGTTGACAAAATATTTCAAAATCATGATAAAGGTGTTGGAATTTCTGATTATGTTGAATGCAATTAGTAATAACTGTATCATAGATAAACCGTCGTGTTTGAAAGAACATCAGCCGACTGGGAAACTTAATATCTATAGAGCAGAAGTATCTAATAGATAGTTTCAACTCATAAATAGTTTCAAATGAAAGACCAGCTTGTTCCAGTTATCTTGATAATGGTATACTCATACTTACTCATGAAATAACTTTAACAGATTTATGTGATTAGTTCAATCTGGAGATCTTTTAGAACTTCATTCTTTCAAATCAGAATAAAAACTATGGACAACTAAAAGAATCTCTTAGAAAACAAAGTATTTCAACTTATCATCTTGAATCAAAACTTTTGGCCAGAGACATTATTTGACTTCAGGAATCTCATATATTATAAACGTTATTTCTTTTGAAGCCAGAACAACAAACATCATTTCCAATTGTTAATTTACATCGAGTTTATGGTTTTTTTTTCTGCTATCAGCAAGTGAATGAAAAGTAATCATTATTTTGAACGGGGACAATGCAAAATGAAATTGCTCAACCTTTAGTGACCAATCAATATCTTTCTAGTGTTCATTCGTAACCCAAACAGTTCAGGAGTAGCGCCTCTGAATGCAACATCAGGTGATGTTGGTTGGTATTTCTGAGATGACATCAGTTCCTTCGAATCTGCAGATATACCTTTCTCACAGGCGCTAGCAAATATGACTTAAATTTGGAGCTCTCTGCTTACTGTATCAACTAGATAACGCGGAATATATACAATCTATCAGATTCATATATCAAATCAACTGGATGGGATGATTTCATGCTAATTGTCGGCATATTATTTCATCCTAACGGCTGCAGTTATCGGTTTTACGCAATCCACTCAGCTAACATATTTTCTCAGAAGATGAAATGCAAAGCAAATATTTAACAGCTTCCTAATTTAGGTAGTTAAATATTTCGGGTAATTCCACTTTTATTTGTATCACTGTCAAAGGATGATTTTAAAGGCCACCCTAGCAACTGCTAAGATAGCCAATTGCGTTTCTCAATTTAATGGGAAACTATCTTCCTAACCAGAATACTGAAACTTGATTGGTTATTACACCAGTTCCCACGGTGACCTTTGAAGTAGCCCTCATTTAGTGGGGATGGGGCTACCTAACATAATCATGCCACTTCCAGGATCAAATGTTAATCAAAGCTAAGAGAAAACGAAACTACAATCATCCTTCTCCAGAAGTGCACGCCTATGATATCGCAAAGGCTACAGATTTTTATGATTTTTTTATGAAGTGTACGTTGAAACTTCACAATTTCCTACTGTTCTATACGCTTAGATTTTACCTTGATGAAAAGATTTTAGTCGAAATTGTTGATATATTTTGATTGTATTCACTTCTGTTATGCTAGAATGAAACGATTTGAGGAAGTAATTGATTTGAAAATTGTTCACATTTTATTTTGAAACAGTATCAATCGACTGAATCGAATAATATGCGTTACATTTTTTCTTTTAACCCATCGTTACTTTTTTTTAACACTTTAGGTCTTACTCACGCGGGTGTATGGGTTGCATGCTGTTCCTATATTATGCAAGCGTTTCAACCAGAATTTCGTCCATCAACACTTGGGTTTTTACGTGCAATCCATTATGGTATGGGACGTGGCTTAGGTGCTATATTCGGTGGACTTGTCGTATCGAGTTATGGTAAATGAGAAATGATTTCAGTTATACCCTCTTTTGTTTAATACTTAATAAGCTTTGAGTTTTTTCTTAGATTGGCAGATAACAAGGTCAAAAATGAAATTTTCTTTGCAGAGAAATATAATCTAGAAATATGGACGAAGTTGGTACACGAACTAACCATTGAGTGGTAACTGATATGTTTATCGCTTTCAAAGTACCGATAAAAGTTCAAAAACCAGTTGCGCAGTGTGCTGGTTGAGTAAATTGATGCATGATACCGCTGTACACTTTGCTTTTGTGTCCAGTACGAAATGTCACTCTTAGGTAGCAGGGGTGAGGCAGTAACTCTTTTTCTAATAGAAGAGTTTTCATCATTCTTTTCACTGAAATTATATTTACTTACTACTGAGATTTAAGGCTACATACTCAATGCATTTTTGTTTAGACACTCCTACAAATCAACAGTAGGATGTTTTAACCTTTTCATATAGGTAAATTATCATTTACTTTAAGATATTTTGCACAGTGTGAAGGGAAGTTACAACTCTGTAGAAAAGTATTTCTCAAAGGCGTCAAGGCTTCTAAAAGGAAGCTGAATAAAACGATAATGTCATAGGGAATTACTCCAATCGTATACATATGCTTTGATTGTCTCAGGAAGTAATTTTAATGAAATATTCGATGTTTCGGCTACATAATTTTAATATGAGTTATAAATATAATGATTGTACCAAATTTTCGTCTGAACAACAAGTGAATAAGTTGTGTTCATCGTGTGGTGTCCGTCAAGAATGCCCACTCTCTCATTCCTATTTAGTTTTATCATAGATGTTCTTATGGAGGTCTCCCTCTCGTCATCTGACCAAACAGAGATTGACCTGATCATATGGGAAATTTCGGTAGACCTAGAATACGCAGATGACACAGTCTTGTTAGGTGAAGACGCTAACAAGACGAAGAATCTTCTCGACACGTTGAGTGGCAATTCGAGAATGTTTGGGATGCTCTTCTCTCCACCTAAATGCAAATTACTGCCTCAGGATGGGTACCTCGAGTAACAATAGAGAGTGAAGAGTTTGAGCGCGTTGGAAATGCCACTTACATAGGAAGTCGAATCAGCCCTATTTCGTTGGTCAATGGCCGACGAAATCTCTTCACGGATATAGAAGACTCGGTTGGCTTTTGCCAACTTACTCCATCTATGGTGCCGCTATGATACCTGATTATCTATTAAGGTTTGAGTGTACTGTGGTGCAGTCCGCTCTGTCTCACTGTACAGTTGTGAAATATGGCCATAGAAGGTAGAGGACATGAGAAGTCTTCAAGTGTTTGACCACCGTTGACTTCATAGCATAGGCCGTGTTTCTTGGTGTCACCACGTGAGTAACGCAGACATCAGGCAAAGATTTTTGGGTAGGAGAGGTAAATCGGTTTACATGGTTGTGAACCTTCATCGACTGAGATGGCTGGGACATGTGTTACGCATAACTAGCCACTGTCTGCCTCGCCAGACAATCTTGTCCAAAATAGGTTCAGGCTGGAAAAAGGGTCAGGGCGACCAGAATAAAATAAGCCATCAATGCATAAAGTCCTTGACTGTCCATTTTAAACATGTAGGGCGATGCAGACTAGCCGGCTGGGGTCCGCGGGACAAGAGGAACCAGTGATTGAAGACTTTAGGTGATACGGCTGAGAACCGATGTCAGTGGTGCAGATGTATATACATATTATCTTTACATTAGCCCTTATACTTAATCTCATTATCTTATCATTCTTCCTTCTTCTCTTTTAATACTCTCTACTTTTACTTATACTTCATTCGGTCGACTTTTCTTTCTTGATCTTCCATTTTATTTTCCTGTTACTTGATGTGCTGATATGAGGTATGCAACTTGGACGGTTACGCAGTAATGCCTGGTCCTGTGTTGACCTTGATGATGATGATAATAATAATAATGAATGAGTTACTTGAATACGCTACATATAATACATGCAACATTCATGCAAGAAGATTCCATTTAATCTTTGCAACCATCTAAAATAGGATTCCTTTTTTCGTATCGTAGTATGGATAATTTTCACTAATCACTATTGGTAATTTTACTAAAGTCTACAACTTAAAGGCAATTTCACATGAATCTAAGTAACTGGTTTGTAATATATCGATGTAACTGGCTTCATTTAGATAAGTCAACCGATGGTCCATTTACCTCAGTCAGTGATTTTATCTTACAGAATGTTGTAAGCGAAACAACTATGCTGTAATTCAAAACTGAATAATCAAGATAAGATAGAATCATAAACTAATGATCCGTGCCTTTGTTCAATGTGGACTAAACAGATTCAGGGTACAGAACTTATCGAATAATAGCTAGAAATATTGTAACGCCTTCCACTTTAAAAAGGTAGAAATATTGCATACACTAAATACATTAAAAATTATTTTTAATTTCACTGGTCATACTTTCGTTATTTAAACTTTTTGAAATTTATTATTTCCAACTAGGAACTCCAACAATGTTTAGAGCTTATGGAGCATCATCAGCTTTAGTACTTTTGGCGTTCTTATTGTTGAACTACTTTATGCCGATTCCAGCAGTAAATGAGGCATCAACTGAAGATGATAAGATGTATGGTCAAATTTCATCTGAAGGACAGAAATCAAACGCAACACCATTTGGTATGCACTGTTTAATTTACTGAATAATTTCTTAACAGAAAATGAAAATAACATATGAAGTTTCATGTTATGATTTCAGTTCATCTACTGATTGAATGGCTATTAAATAGGTTGTCAGTGGTGGAGAATCAACACACCTAAAGATAAATTATATTTTGAAATTTCAAAAAGTGAGAGAACTTTTAGATCAACAAACTAATCTACAGCTGCTCACTGAATTAAGTAGATTCAACCATCTGGCTGACTAAACTTAATAACCCATGTTTTCAGGGAGAAAGAGTTAGAATATTAGACGCTGCTTTAGCACTAGACGTTTACGCACATCATACACTATGTGATTTGGTACAAAAGTCATTGACTGCCACTTCTGAAATCTTTTTCAGTACGCTTTTATTTACTCTCAGCACTAACTGAAAATCTAAACCATAATAAAAAAAATGACAACTTGATTATATCAAGTTATTATTCATCGTAGACTGACATCAGTTGGAGGAGCAAAGGAAACCTGGGAGCACTGGACAGCTGTTTCGTCCTGGTATGGTACTGCTCAGCAGTGCGCACCCACGACCCCACCAGCAGAGATCGAACCCGCGATCTTCAGGTTCCACGGCCAGCGCGTTACCATTGAGCCACTGGGTCAGAGTCCAATGCTCCATATTTCCAACTTCTGTTAGCTCACGATATATAGCGCAACCGCCACCTAATGTCATCGCTGAGTATCTGTCCTCATGGCCATCAGGCTTTGACTTCACCGGTCACGACTTCTCATTAAAACTTCGGGAAAAAAACTTGATTGTAGATAATGGGCATTAAGAAAGTTCAGAAAATGCGAGAAATTTAATTCGAAGTTATCTGTTTAAAGTCTGCGAAGCATTTTGAATTTTAGATGCAAAATATGAGGGAGTCAAGGAGATACAATGAAAAGTACCTGAATCAAATTATACAACTTTGCTCAAAATTAACCAACTAGTTATTTAGGCTACTCATATGACATTCGAATTTGCATACTGTAATGGCCAGTTTATTTTAAAGAAAACCATTTTAAAAGAATATCTGTCAACTTACATGTTTCCCAAGTAAATAAAATTTTCTTAAAAGAAAGAAAGTGTGTAAGTTGAGTTACCCATTTTCATGCACATAATGTAGCGAAAGTACTCCTTTGATTAATAATGTAGCGTAAAATATTCCTGACCTCAAATAACTAGTGTCTGTACTACAGCATATACAAGTAGTTCAAATATAATTGATCATAGTGTTTTTGTTTAGCAAAACTTGATGTAAACACGTCGAGAATTGAACGGTAACCTTGAAATCTCACCCTATGTTGTCGCCTGATTCCTCCAAAAATAAAGAAGTCAGTAAGGTAATAGAAGATGTATTAAAACGCCAAAAATATGTACAAAAACGGTTCAAATTTGTGCTTACAATGGATTTGCCTATTTTCAGACCTTTCTCGACAGGCGTTCGCGCTGAATTCAAATTAAACCAATCTGATGATTCCATGGAAGATCAAGTGCCTTTTCTCCAGATATCAGAATACACAGGGGGGGGGGGGTTCAAGGATTTATCTCAGGCAAATGGATAGTTATACTGAACTCCACAACAGTTTCTTTTGACTGTACATGAAACCGTCAGTCTCGAACTAATGTATGGAAGAGATTTACTAATTCTTCTAAGGAGACAAAACTAATGAACGGAAACATAAGTACTTACCTTCAGTTGTCTGGATTTTTGTCACCTATTACTTACAGAAGTTGAATGATTCTTTCAGCCGTTTCAGCTTTCTGAATGTAACGTTAACTGGAGTCCTCGATAGGAAATTTTTAGCCCATTTAAGTCTAGAAGGCCATACTTATTTGATTCATTCATCTTTCATCCTACTCTGTGGTTTCTACTACTTCAACGAATTCGCCCAAGTCCTTTGAGTGTAGTTGGGTTCCCATAGTCAGTGGTTCATGTGATAATTTCTTATATTTTTTGAGGTAACCCAAAAGAACGACACTCAACAGGTATCACACAAATTCTTCTGGTGTTTTTAGGAGCAGGTCATTCAATCTTGTTTCGCAAAAAACTTTTTAAGAGTCTCGTTGATCCATTCCAATACTTAAACTAAAATAACCCGAAGAAGTCACTGAATTTTATTTTCCGTTCACTGTTCAAACTATCTACAATTGTTTCAAATCTTTTCATATGTTAATGCCAGAAATATCATGTTTATATATCCCTTGATAGGAATAATATGATTTTAGTTATAAAAGCTGGTTGTTAAGATGCTATCTACTATGAAAAAATAATTATCTAACCAACTTATCAATTCTAGACAGTTCAACACCATAATCTGTTTATACCTAGCAAAAAAATCGTCGTTTAGAGTCTCCTTTCTGGTCCCAATATCTATGGAAAACTTCAGTCAATAATCCTATGAAATGCTATTCATTTATTTGCAAGTGTTTTAAAGTAGTTCAGTTCCTTTTCGTGTGTTTTAGATCCCGGTGTAGTTGACAGATATGATCGCTAACTTTTATGAATTGAGAGAATTTGAGGAACCACTTTTCACATATTATTGCAATTATTAATTGTAAGTGAGAACAAATACCACCTGAATAGTGTGTATTCACCTATATACTATTCTGAGTATTTGAAGTGAAATTCTACTGAAACCTTTATGCTCTTGAGTCCTAATGACTAAATGGAGACTCTCCTGAAATCATAGGTCAACAAATATCTAAAGATCAAACTATTGGTTAGCTTATCAGATGTACATATTTACAGCAATTACTAAAATTATTGAAATCGACGGTCACTTATAAAACAGCAACCCTGAGATATGACTGTGAACTGTGCATAATATGGATATCAGTGAGCATTTAATGAATACTGACCAATGAACTTGAAAATTTTGTTATATTGTCTAAAAACAGTTACGATATTGAATTTATCTACACTCCAGCTTTATAGCTTGGTTATATTTAAATAAAATAACACTAGTCCTTAAGTAAAACGTTATCAATGTAAGTAAATGCTAGTTCTTGAAGAATGGTTTCACAACATCCAAAAGAATGATCATGGGTAGAAACACAAATGGATTTTAATGAAGTCTTATGAACCACTCATAAATTCAACTAAACAAGTATGCATGGTAGTTCGATACTACTTACAGAAATAAGCACGATGACCAAATGATCTTACAGTTCAGTCGTCTAAGTTAATCATGTTGCATTATGTAGTTGCTCAACCAAACCATTTTCATAAGTTCTGTTTTTGAATTCTATCTTTGGTATCTAGTTAGTCATAGGAATAAGTCATATACTGGGTGATAATTGGAGGTGAAAAGAAAATTTGGAATGTTGCCGGATTGGAACAACCAAAGACAGAGTTTCTGGTCCGATACTCTACCAACTGACCTCGTAGCTTATTTGATAGAGCATCGGGCCGGAAATCCGTTGGTCGCTGGTTTGAATCCGGCCGTGGTTCAAATTTTCCTTTCACCTTCAACCAACACTCAGTATAAATACTAGTCTGCCAAACCACGGCTACATCAGACAGTTAAAATGATAATCAGTAAATCATATATTTCATTTGTGTACAGTTTGTCACACTTTCTCACTAAATGTCTTTATTTAGTTATTAAAACAAGGAATTCATTATTCAACATTTTGTAAAAATATTTCAAATTTAGCTTTCACCATGGACTGAAATCAGTTAGAATCGTAGTATATGATTGCTCAATTCTGATACTATAAAGGAAAATGACAGAATTAGAAAACTGTAGATCATTGGATTTCGACCCAGCTGCAGGCTGATGACTTGCTGTACATAAGACTTGATGATCTTAGGCTCAATTTCAGAAGAAGGTAAGATTAGGCACTGCTGAGAATCCTCACACGAGAGTGAAACAAGAGTTCCACATTTTCAGGTTTGCAGTGCTTTACTTACTGTTTTCATTCTTTGATAAAAACTGTTTCATAGCTAAACAAACCTCCAAAGCTACCAAATAAAGTAAAATTCATACGATTTCAATATCATAAAAACCTTAACTTTAAAATATCTTTTTCAAATATTTAAACAGGCAATGCATTTCAAACAAATGAAGTAACTCATGAATATTACCTACAGAAGGAGCAAAACCAAAAAACGACTTATCAATTCCAACAACAACCATTACAATCACAACAACAAATGTCTTACTCACCAGCTGGTAGTCAACAATACGGACAACAGAAAGATACCTATAGACAAGGTTACTAACATAATCTATATATCTGCCTACTTTTTATTTACTGAGTTTCTTTGGTATCAGTAAAACGAGAAGTGGACGATATCGACAATAGTCATAAGTTGGTTGTGAAAATCTGTTTCTGAAATATTCTTATCTTGCATTGGACTGATCAACTGACCAAGTGACTGTTAAATTTCATGTCCTATATAATATAAACATGGAATAAATAGCATTTGCCAACTCACTCAAACAAAACAATATCTAATTATTTCAGTCTGCATCTGCCTAAATGCCTATCAAAACAGTAGTCAATCCTCACTGAACTGTTGAACAAATCACCATGTGTTCTTAAAGACAATAATATCCATTTGTTTAATTCTCTTCATCCTCACTATCACAGACAATTATGCTTCAATTAAATATGTTTTATAAATGGTTGTGATATGATTCTGTTAACTATCATCTACATATACAAATGAAAAAAATTATTATTATTCACCTACTCGAGCATACCTTGATGAGCTTGGTTTATAAACAATAACTAAAAGCTATGCATAAATGGTTGCTTAATTTATTTTTCCTTAAAATGTTTATATATTACTCTTATAAAAATATTTACTTTTCAAGGTCATTTCAATACACACCTTATTTATTTGTGTATTCCATATCTTTGTTATTCTATTCATTCATATCTGAGTTATAGAGATTTCTCAATTATTTAAAACCGAAAAAAAATAGTAGTTCAGCATCCTTCAACCTACCAATAAATTTAACTGCCGTTAACATCAACATGAGACTCACTGGAAACCAAGGCGTATTTGACAACTATTTTGTCCTAGTTTGAGGCTTCTCACTAATGCAAACAAACGAAGTTAAATCAAATCAAAATCAGAACTGTCTTTTCCTGTAACGAACATGCTACAATCTATTCCTGGACTTGAATGCCTTATTTCAGATTTATATTAATTTTCTATATGGTGGGATCATCATTTACTATCATCAATTAATTTCTATCTTCGATCTTAACTGTGAAACATTGTTCACAGAGATTATAACTCAATATTCAGATGGAATAGCTATAAATTAATGATATCCTTTGGATTTATAGGCAGCACAGCTATCTAGTAGAGTGATATAGGAGATTTCGGATAAGAAAATCTAGCTGTTTAGACATGTGTGTAAATGTAACAAACTGATTTCAGATTTAAACCATTTCATTCAGTAACTAAAGTTTCTACTTACGATGAATACTAAAATGAATATTGAAATGACTGAAAGCCCTTGCGCCTCACTGCCTTTTTACTTGATGTACTGATATGAGGTGTGGCAACTCAAACCGTTACGCAGTAATGCCTAATCCTAGGTTGATCTGGATGGATGGCTTGATTTAAGATAATTGAAACTAATAATTAGGAAAAATGATGTATTATTATTGAGTAATAGGAAAGAAAAGAATATGTTCAAAAAAAGAAATAATTTTCTGATCAAGTAATTTATTTTTAAGAACAGCAAATTTAAGCACAAATTACAGGACATTTCGTCATTATTATTCATCAGATTTCAAAATACACTGGATAAGAACATAGTTGTGTTGTTCAAATAAGGATTCAAAGTAGGAAAAGAAGAAGGATTACAATATTAAACTTTATGACGAGGAAATTACCCTAGGTTATCAACTTTTCATCTTCACTATGACAGTGACAGAGGCAGTGGATACATTTTAGAACACATAGTAATGGTTGTAACTCTACTGTTATAGCTGCTTCCGCTTCTTCTGAATAGCTTGATCAATTTTAAACAGAATTCGGAAGAATTTTTCAAGAGTTATCTAAAGCCTTGAGCTGATAAAGTGTTTTTACAAGACTGAATATATGCTTCTATTGTCAATTTCCTAATCATTCTGACTATTGATCATATAAGCCTTTGAATAACCAATGAATAGCGTTATCAAAATATGCAGCTCTACAGCAGCAACTGAACTGAAATACTCATTCTGACAAAACCCAGTGCATGATTTTATCATATTAATATGGTTTTTCAAAATAAATGAATAATACTCCTGACAAGGAAGTACCGCATAGCAACTGCAAAACCTTTAAAGACTATTGTAATTAATTTTTTGCTTTTAATTCCGACCAGTGGGTCTATCAGGGATATTTTAATCATTATTGCCAAGAATTTAAATATCCATTAGTCTACAGTACCACATGTTCTCTAAGCTTAACCTTCATCCATGACGTTGAAGCCGTTGGATATTCCTAACGTCTGATGTGACATCACGTTGTTATTAGCATCGATCTCATACGACACTATTGTTTAGTACTTGTGATTTCCTGTTGCTATACAGAACCGAATTTCTCGACCTCTGTTGGGAGATGGGATTCTATGCGAGTGCCTCGACACTGTCCAGTTACTCATCATATTGTATTTATCTTGGTGACTAGCTGCCAAATCCAGGATACAAGTGTTGTCCTATTTGGGACCTGTTAGCTGGATGTACCTGCAGTCCAGTGTGTGATATTGTTCCAAATGAGACTTGAGCTCAGAACCCATCATTTTAAATTAGGGTACTGGGACACGAGAGCCGCCAGTTGTGCAACGGGTATTAGTTGCTGTTTGATACTTGTAATACCCCGTTCTTATACAATGCCAGGTAGTCTATTAGGGTCTCAGCTTCTTCCATATGGTTTGGGACCGGGTTGTTGTGTTTCCCAAGAAGATATGCTAAGGGTTGGAAGTCCTCAACTGCTCTCTTGATTCCATTTGTCATGGACTCAATACTGTCAATTTCTTTTCTTTTTTCCTTGATGTTATCATTCATTACCGACACAGTGTCTTCAGCCCTGACGAGCGGTGTAAGGCATGTAAGTTCGTCAGGAGCTGGATCATATGACACGATAGAGTTTCGGTCACAACCCGAGATATTGGGAGGACCACTCTTGTATTCTTGTCGCTAGAGCTATCTATCTTTGAGCACTTTGCTTTCGAGCGCCTCGTTCTTAAAATAGGTTTTAAGTGAGATGTGCAACTGACGGTAAAGTTATGTAGTCCAAAATGATGGGAATACACTGTCTACAGACTACAATTAGCCTCAAATTATCCAGACGGGATAGATCGTTATATTACTATAAATATACAATAATAATGAGCTAAGCACAACAACCAGTGGACAAAAAGATATAATCAGGAATCACGTGTAAACGTAGCATATAATTTCAACGTTACCACGTGGAAAGGAAGTACAGTTACTCAGGATGAATGATGCTCACAGATCACAGTGAGTTAGCTGCAGCTTCAGACTACGTGTGAAAGAATTTATGATTGTAGTTTTCACTTAAGAATATATGCATTCATCATAAATAAGGTACGCATTTTCAGGTAGAATGCTATAACACCCAGAGATTACTTTTAGTCTCACTCGTCTGCCAAACCGTAACGTTCTATCTCTAAACTCATCTCTTATATGCTTTAAATAAAGATGTCTGATTTAGTGCTTGTTGCTGATCATAGCAGTGAGATCAAATTAGAAACTTATGATACCTTTAAATTGGTTTGTTTGCGTGTAAGTTATGTTGTTTGAGAAATATATATTACCGCTATCATTTGATATCTTCGAACGCCCTTGACAGGCCGCATAATCCATCTCTTATGACTTGCTGAGCTTCTTTTTTAACTCCCATGATTGCAACCACAGTGTCTTCTTTTGCTGAGTGATAAGAGCCGAGTGGTCGAGAGAGGCCATCCTCCTGTTGCCCTTATCCGGTACGCAGCACAGTTGATTCTACGGCTCCTGAACATAAACAATACCCAGTATGAATACAAAACTAAAATCTATTTAAGAGAAGGATTATAAACCTGCCTGTAAAGCCAGAGCTGCACACTGATATGAACTTCCTTCTGATGCAAGTATATAGAATGGTCTTGATACCCTCCCCAGACGTCTAGCTGCATACGTTGGTAGGTCATGATAATTCACTGTGAAGGCTTTCTTTAATTGCAAAACCTACTAGTTACCGGAATATTCTTCCTGCAAATCACCAATGCGATTTCTGTCGCCGAATGCCAGTGGTCGCATTATAATCTCTACCGCACAATTTACCTTGTTTCATGTACTTTCTCAGGTGCATTGCTGCTATTACCATTTCGCCAACTGTTGCCACTTCCTGCCTGCTTTTCTTTTCTGCTCCCTTCGACCTGGTATTTGCCCAAAAGCCTACCTGTAAAAAGCTTCAATTTTCAGAAAACCCTTTCAAATGCAGTATTTCATTGTTTTCGATGGCTATTTCTTGTATGTTGCCTCCAGTCTTCTTTTGCTGTTTTTGCCTGTGTTCCTCTTTTCATTCTCGCACAAGCGCTTCTGTGGAATCAAGTATTTTGAAGATGATTCTCTCCTATTCCACTTGAACTATCCTAAGTTAACTACAGTTTTTCCACCTGACGCCTCATCAGCTAGGTCAGAAGCTGCAATTCGTCCCAAAAATCATCGTCCCAACTATTTTCATCAAAATTTGAAAACGTATTTTAAAAACTAACTTATGGCACCACAATGATCTGTAGTGGTTGCACGTCTTCCGAGTCTTTTATGCAACCAAACCGTTAACCTTGTGTTTCTTGTGAGTCTCATTTTAGGGAGCATCCCTATCTTATGAGTTCTGAGATCTTTATGCTGATTACCAGCATTTAATGCCCGATGAAATCACTTGTCCTTCTTGGATGCAAGTCCTGAATTTTGCATGTGAAAGTGTCCAGTCAACGTTCTTGTTCGCATTCTTATTCCATTACCTCACCATAAACACTCGCAACTCAGCCAAGTTTCATTTGCTGCGAAATGCCATCAAGTCACCGCGATGTAGACATTTCGTTTCTCTGAGCTCACAGTCAGATAACATACAATCGATCAGGTGTAAAATTTGAATGGTCATATCGTGTGCCTACTCTTACCTCTTTCTGTATCAGAAGCAGATAACTTCTCCAACTTTATTTTAGATTACCTCTGCTTTCTTTTTGCGCTGAAAAATGAAGTGAACTTCATTCCCGTGAAACACTGACATTTAGAGAGCCTTCGGGCAGCCATCATTCTTCTCTATTTTATGCTCACAGTCTTCCAGTTTACATTTTTGGATAGTTTGAAAGTAATGAAGCTGCACCAAACTAAGTTGTTGAACTGGCATAAGTGTATCATCTTGTCCGCAAATCAGTGTGCAGTTGTGTTTGAAAGAACAAATTATCACTAATTATATGCAAATAAAAGCCAACAGATCAGTTAGCGTACCAGTGAATGCACTTGATCTTCTAAGGTTTGTTTGTACATGTGGACCTCAACCCGCAGGCGACTGCCATTCTACCTGTTCTCTGCACTGATTAATAGCCTCATATTCCGCCTATTATACAGTTGCTTACGACCATAAACGTTACGACTTCTTCCAAAAACAATTTTTGATGGTCTCCTAGTGAGTACTTCCTCTGTGCATTCTTACATGCATAACGTATCTTTCTATTAGTCTTGTATGATCAGTCCCTAAGTGTGGATGAGGTGCTAGTTAGTCTGACATTATCGCACCTTGACTTATAATAGACTAAGCGTGCGCTAGGTCACAGCAACAAAATCAGCCTTCTGCAGCATCATCACAACTTGACGATGGATCAGTTAGACAGAAAGCTGACATACTGACGCATGCAGTTCGTATTGTTTTCAGACTCAGAAAGTTTGAAGTTTGCCTAACATCATAACAGCCCAAAACATCCACAGTTATGTACTGCGAAGACGTCGGATTCCAGTGGAGTTAGTGAAAGTTCGACAATCTCTACATGTTCTTCTCAAAAACTTACATTGGGGCTTGCTGATATCTGACAGCGTTAGGTCATTAGGGACGGTTTGCTACTGAGGAAATAAAATACAAGAAGCCTGCTGTTAAGCCGTGTATCTGAAAGACACAATTCAAAGGCCAGATAAATGAACGAATGTTCACATAAAAAAGCAACGGTGTGTTAAATGACATTTGTACGCTTTTGATTCTAGCCGAATTCATAGAAATTTTCCTTGCACTAGGGAATACTCAGTGTCCTGCAATGCACACAAATACGCGAGTCTGAAAAACAAGCGGTATATACAGACTGCCTTGTTAACAGAAAATTAACATGAATATGCACTAAGTTTCTTAATTCTTATTTCTGCATGCAGAAAATATTTCACTAACTCACACTTTGCGCAGGGCACCTGCACTTATTTTCTTCCGGTCCGAGAAATATTTTACAATATCGCGAGGACAGTGGCATTTGATAAGCTAATGACCCACTGACATGTTCGTACGATAACTCTCCATTCATCAGTATTTTAATTTGAGCAGAGAAGCATTTTTCGGGCATTTTTTCTTTGCCCCTTGCACCTATTTCTGTTCATACGGGATCAAGTGAAATGACACAGCGACGGAGGTTTCTAGGCGGAGTTCGATGTAGTGCCCAGTAAACTTGGTTAAGAATCTCCATCTTTCGTAAGCTTTGTATTCACAAAGACTTCTGTCGAATCGTGAACAGCTTTCTATGTGCTTGTTCGAGTTTATCCACTTCAGTTTCCCAACAAAGTGCCTTGAGTAAACACGTCAAGCCACTATCATCCCGCTCTTGCTTGTTACATCGTGATTACATAAGATAAATCGTTCTGAGCGTTACTCGAAGGCACTGAGACCAACAATGTCACTGGATTTTATTCTGTTGGACATCAATGCTTCTACCGTTCAGTGAGTGTAGAGTGGATATTTCTGAGCAACGATACTCACAAAGTATCAGGCCGTAGCTTCTATTTTGTCTACATTGTCTGCAAATAACCCGTTGGCTTTTTTCTCCTCGTCTATGGGGGGAATAACATGACACTTTTCGTTCTTGTAGTTCGTATAGCAAGACAACTCGCTCCGCTGTTTAGAAAGGGTGTATCTGAAATCGAACTCGAGACTGGTGGGTAGGGGTGACACCTTTATGCCAGGCCTCTTTACAATATATAATAACAACCATACCTTAGCTCGTTGATTATGAACCACGATTCTTGTCGCACAACGAAATTCTCAGCATGCGATTTTCAAAAATTACTTATTTTACGACAATCTGACTGAAAAATATTTCAAAAGCAATAAGTTTTCGTACTATTGTGCGCTGAGAATTTCATCCTATGACAAGAGGTCTGGGATAACTTAGGCATCCTGCAGAAAGTTTACAGGATAAGTGATAATATTTCCACCGCCTAATACACATATTCCGTTAGGTTTAAACTATAAGACTGCGCAGAGGTGACAAATCCTCGCCTGAAAGGTGACTCGTACTTTCTAGAAAGGAGTTTCAAGGACTACCGCAGTATGGATCTTGCGATGAATCGTGTGACCAGTGTAGAACGACTTCAGGAGATGAACCTTTTTTGTTAATCGTATCACAAACTGAGTAGAGATGAAGTCATGCTGTACAGAATCTAAACAAGTCGCCTCGAACCTCATCGATATTTGATTTCTCTATCCACCAAATCGGAACACCAAAGGGACATTGTAGGAGAGTAGAAAGCAATGGAATAACGTCATTTATACATAGTACTGAATTTCATACCAGTTTTCTACCATGAGAGATGGCTGCTAGAAGGGGTAGCATTCGCATCACCAACTGACCCATTCAGGAGACTACTGAACAATGACGAAACAAATATTTATTCCTCATATGGAACCTAGGTTATAGGTAAGCAGCGATGAGTCTCCATGATCGCTGAGATATCCTAACTGGGTAGAATTAAAACCTGCAGAGACCAGCGTTTTTAACGTCCATCGTATGGAGTTTTGAGGTGGGCAGCATGAATTTTCATGAATCGAGATTGTAGGTGAAAGTTAACTATGCATGCAATCGAAGCTATGTTACTAGATAGAATATTTGGAGACCTATGTATGAAAAGGAAACAAATTACATGTAAACTGTTACACGTCTGTGGCGGAAGGGATATGACCTTATCAGTTTATTTCCTTACAGGAGACACTTCCGTTTGTTGAATATTAGAAATCTAGCTACCGGTTATTTGAATTTGATGTCTATGGCGCGCATGTTGTGTTCTGAGGCGTCCAACCCCTTTTTTAATGTGTCTAGTCTGTTTACTGATGTATAGCAGACGTTTTTATGGGACTGGTTGTCACCAATGACCGCTTCATATTCAGGAGTAAAGTTGTCATCTATTAATGGACATCTAATATGTGGATTGTGTGGTGGATACCTAATTGATGCGACTGTCCTAACTGAATGCATCCATGTTTTCTGTAGAAGCTGCATTCTGAAGTATTTGTTAGAAAACAAGATTTGCCCTTTGTGTCAAAGTCTGGTGCAAGAGACTAGACCTGGTCAAGCTCTTCGTCCAGATGTTGCACTTCAGCGTATTGTATATAAATTAGTCCCAGGTTTACTGAAGACTGAAATGAAAAGGATTTCAGAGTTTAAAGATTCATATACAAAAGATTCATGTGCTGACAAGTTTATCTTTGGCAAAGAGATCCTGCGGAGGAATTCAAATCCAAGCGGTGTATGTAGTTATGCTGCTTCCGGTAAGAAATGTGTAGCTATTTGGATTGGTTTTGAAAATTTCAGTTTTGCTTATGAACAGAAACTTTACTTGTTATTTGAAGTCTTCTTATGATCCAGTTGCTTAACCCTATTGGATCTACGGTTGCCATAAGGTTATGCATGGATATACAAAAGTCGTTCGCTTTGTCAAACCTCATTAATTTACCCTGTGGTCTCATATCAATGATTATCAGATGGTTTGGGGTTAAGAAGTGCTTAATGGGACTTTTTTCATCTGGAATTGTTGGTAAATCTAACGGTGCTTTCAGCCACCGTAAATGCATCATTAATAATAAGGAAATTCATGCTTATGATTATGCTTAAGCACATTGGTCGCCATTTTAACATTATTTAGGTGAATTTATCTTCGCACCCGTCCGTTAATCTTGATAGGAGCACTTTTTATAGCCTCGGAGATGAAGTCATTTGATTTGAATGCAACTGAACCCAGTGCATGTTTTTGAACTAATCTGTGAGCTGCGCCTATTGTATTACGAATTATGATACCATCTGCCTAGATTAAACTAGACGAAATTCATTTGTTTAAACGGTTAGGATTTCAAGCTAACTCTCACCTACAAAAGTTTGTGCAGTTAAGTAGTATCATCAGTCTTCACAGTTAGTGTAGTTTATTGCCTAGTGCACAGTTGTTGCGACATTGTGTCCGGTAATCTCTAGTGTGTTGTAAACGCGACATTTTCGTCGGTGTGTTGGCGTTTTTCCCCTGTCTTTTTTCTCAGTGAGGTGTCTGTGTGTGAAGATTGTTGGGAAAAAGCAATACAGTTTTAGTCAATTATCCAGGGGTTGACTGATATCGCTTATGAAATACTTTGTGACGTAAGGAAATTTTAAGTGACCAATCTGTGGAAATCTTTGTGTGGTGCACTTGAACCCGTATTTTGTTTTGTGGTATAAAACCCTCCCTACCACACTAGCGTGCGAACCGAAATTCTAAAGGCAGGGGGCCGTAATAGTAGCCTCAGGTTATTTAGTGCAAGCTTTTAAACCAACAATGCATTTTTGGTATCACCCGTAATTGTACTGGTCATGTTATTCAAGCTACTGGATAGCAAATACGTTTGTAACGGTTTCGTTGTACGACTGGTGTCACCACCTGGTTTCCATTCTCATTAACTTCTCTAGTGTTCAGACATAATTTGTAACTTCGATGGACAAACAATCCTACCGGTTCTTTATTTGTATATCTGTCCATCATTCTATCAAAATCAAGCATATCACTATTATTTCAACGGCAACCATCGTAAAGGCTAAATGAATTTGGCTATTGCATGTCTTCACAGGGTTACTAATTTATGACAGTGCAGCTGCTGTCCTGATTATAAGTGTAGACTGCGGTATAAAGCAGCAGTTAATTATTTGGTTACGTTTAATAAAATGGTTGGTAAGTACTATCGACGAAGTCAGTGGTCAATAATTATGCGAAGAAATACAAACCAGTTTCTTTAACCAACGTATTGCTTACAGTCGGTAGTGCTGATGCAGATCCCGACTGATAGTTGCTGCTGTGACGTGGTTGTCAGATGTGCAAATCACAATGACCCAATGAGCTATGCTGGTGGAATGCCTGTCCCCCCGAGGTCCTACCATGCCAGATAGGTCTGTTGAGTAGTGGTAAAAGGATAGGCGGTTACCGTTGTAGTGTAAATTACTACACTATGATGGGAGGGGGGGGGTCGGTGGTTATCTGAAAGCGAAGCCGTACTGCTACTAGCTGAATGGTGTGCGACAGCAATAAGGTGTTTCCCGTGGATGACCAGAAGTGCCACGCTCATTGCTTCCTTTCCGACGGGAGATGGGATTAGAAAAGTTTAGCCTTAAAAATAGCATACACTACCCTGCCCTATGGTCTTTCGGTGCTGGCGGTATGTGTTCTCTCCATCCGGCGTTAGACCAACCATACCTCAAAAGAACATCCTGCAAAAGACCATGTGTGACGGGCCTCAAGTAAATGTCCCATGGGCCCTTTGATCACAAATCTTCTCCTCTTTCAGGTACCTTAAGAAAAAACCTTCCATGGTGTGGGTCACCTTGAAATGTAAACCGCCCGCACGCTTCCAGTAGTACATAAAACCCAATCAAACATAAGCTGTCCTCCTCAACTCAGTCTTGCTCTTTGCCTTTATCATTTTGATATTAACATTAGGCCTTTTACGCCTTACCCAACCTCACTCTGCAACCATTACCAACGACGAAAGCCATCAACACCTCATTCGTAGTCCCCTAACACCCTGCCACCCGTTTCATGTATGAGCTTTCAACGTCCGAACTCTATGCCGAATTGGACAGCAGGCATCGCTAGCCAGAACCCTGGGATCTGTAGCCACAGATGTATACTACATCTCTGTGACACGCTTACGTAACCCGAATATGGTTATTAAATTGATCTTATCTGACCATAAAAGTGAATCCTAACGAGTATCTGGAGACCGAGTGGTTACCTCTCGTAAACTCACTTGTGTAAGCATAGTTATTGCGTTGTAAAGTAGAAAGCATGCTTCTCAATTAGATACCAGTAAAAGCTGTTTATGTGCTGTTCGATGAAATTGATCTGTAGAAACTAGGAAGACTAGTGTAACTAGGCTATACTTATTCGTAATTTCTGCCTACGCAGCCACCGACTGCAGTCCGAATAATACTCAGAATAAATTTTAGAAGCTGTCAACTTAGATACAGAAAGCAAAACGTTCAGATGTGGTCATAATGCTGGGCAACTTTAACTCTCAAGTAGAGATGCTGACCCAGTCGGAAAGGCATGTTGGAGGTATTCGCGTAATCCCATGCCAACGAACGGACAATGTGATCACATGTTGTAATTTTGTTCCGAAAATCACTTGCTTCTGTCTAACACTAACTTTAGGCTTAAGAAGAGACATTGACATAGCATCCACCGACTTCAAGCAAACGATGGGAACAGATTACATTGCTATAATGCATCGTTGGAGAGGATAGGTGGATTGCCGCTCTTCCTAGGCTACAAGTTAGTACTCCGATCATGCGTTAGTATGCGCTTTTGTACGTCTGGGCCTTACTGGTTGCAGGAAACAGGTGATTGTAAGACCTGTCTAGGGTTGATTGGAAGATAAGAACGTCAAGTACGCACTTAAGGGAAAGATAGCTAAGCATCTATCTGGAGGTGATAGCGACGCACATCCTAAGGAAATGTGAAGTGATATTGTATGCTGTAAAAACAGCAGTAGACAGTTAGTAACCTACACCCAAAGATTATCAAACGTCATTCGAACTGATTGATGCGAGAAGACTGATTCCAGCTGGTTGTGACCACGATGAAAAGTGAAAGAAACTTAAACGTAAATTAACTAAGAGTCTGTACTTCGACCATGGGTAGTGGTGGGCGGCGAAAGCGAGCGAGGGGATGGAGAAGATATCAGCGTTGGGTAACTGTTTAAACCTATTAATGATACTGGTAAGAAGAAGACAATGGTTAGTGAAGTCATCACCGAAAGAGATGCAGGACTGATTACCTCCTATGACAGGCGGCTAGAACGTTAGTAAGAACATTTTGAAGCGCAGTTAAACTGGCCGTCAGTATGTCTTCAGTTAGCCAACTCGTCTTGAAGTTGAAAAGGCTGTATCAAACGTGAAACGATGCAAAACAGCGGGACATAACACTCTGCCACCTGAAGTTTTCAATGATGGAGGTAGGAATTTGCTGAACAAGGGGACGGAGGTACTAGGTAGTGTATTGGAAACGTCGTGCTGTCAACCTAGTGTACTTCACTGATCATCCCAGTCTCGAAGAAAAGAGAGGTCTTTCTGTGAAAACCGTAGTTTGACTAACTTAGTTTGACTAACTAGTCTGACTAACTTATCCAATATCGTAGGCTCCATAGTTATCCGACGCCTGACTGGAACTCGAGAAAACCATGGGGGTTTCAGTCCTGGACGAGGGTGGATCGATCATATTTTTAACCTCCGACACGTTTTGGAACACAGGCATACTCATTGGCCAGTGGCCAACACTTGTCACCGTTACTATTTAACATCGTCATAGACATTAATGTATATAAGCTTAAGTACGTTTGACTTCACAGGGATTGACCTACTCTTTGGAGGTCATCTAGTTAACTTACAGTATGCAGATAATATTGTCGTGCTAACTGAAGACGCTGACAAGATATCTAGTGTATCTCCCTTGAATTTGAGGTTCAATAATAAAATCTTTTTCGAAACAGTAAGCACACGTGCTTTGGCGTTTTTTGGCTTTAGTTTTCAAAGATTTGTGCCCTTAAGCAGAAGGAGGAATCTTATCAACTCACTCAAGAATACGAGGAATGTGCAAAGAGTGTACGATCCATTATGAACTAGAAAACTTGCGAGAAATCCTGATAAAAAACGGATTGTCACGGAAATCTAAAGCCGAAAAATGCCACAGTATGCGTGCATACTGCCCCGAAAAATTTCTGCTTTTGAACTTCGAATTCATGGGAGATAATGGGGCAGATATACTTAGAAAGAGATTATCAAGGTCCATAAACAGAAAAATACAGGGTCTTGTGAATGCATTGAGCAGAAATCTGAATGTTTAGCATGCGCCTCTCATCTACCAAATGTAGGATGATGCCCCAGGACTAGTGTGCTGCAAATACTCTCAGTTTAATGATAGGGAGTGAAGTAGTGGAATGTGTTGACCACTTCACTTACTTGGGGAGTTGCATCAGCTCGAACAGGCTGGTTGTTCGCGTTTCGGTGGAATCATCTTGTGAGCAATGTTGAGGTCAGGTGAAGGGTGCTAGGCCATAAGAGCAAGTCGATTGATCAAGTTGTGAATATCAGTCGACTGAGATGACCTGGACATGCACTAAGCATGCCGAGCCAGCACCTACCTCGAGGTGCCATGATGCGGGAAATTGGATTAGGTTGGATGAAGGTTTACAGTGGCCATATGAAGTCGTGGGACCAGTCGATGAAGTCTCTCACTGTTGGTCTGAGTTGCGTGATGAGATGTAGACTGACTAGTTGGGGTCCTCGAGAAGAAAAGAATCAGTAGTTGAAAACTTGAGGATATAGCTGGAAGTCAGTTGCTGTGGCACAGATGTATTCACTCCTTGACATTTTCTAAACCTTGAATACTTGCACTAACCGTGATTTTCAGATTGTTTATTCTCTCACACAACTGTGTCTACTCTATCACTCCTTTTCTATCCACCCGTTCTTTGTGTACTACTGTAAAGTTTGGTGACTTAAACAGATGAACCTGTGCAAGGGGTTCTACTTTGATTTAGTTTATCTGTACATTCGATGGTTTCTTTTTTTTTTTTACCTATTTAAGGTGATTTTCATTGTAGTTGTTCATCAAGCAGAATTTCTAAGGTTTTGGTTTCGAATAACTTTCTGTTTGTAGATCTCTGTCCTTCCCCTCTACCTACGGCTCTCGCTACTCGGTCGCTTTCCAAAAGTCCATGTGGACTTGTTTCCGCTACACAGACAACTCAGATGGTTGTTTCTAATCGTCTGCCAAGTTCAGCTGCTTTCCTGTTGGCGGATGATGAATTTGTGAGCTTGTCCCTAACACATTTAACAAGTTTGCCTACGTATTCAAAAGTATCTGAATCTGTAATATCTAAACGCCATGATTATCTGATTGGAGCCAAAGCTAATTTAAAAGTTGAATCTAGTCATTCCCAACAGCCACCATCGCTCCGGCTTACGAATTCGATTTATCTCCTATGCCCAGCCGTGGTAACTGTCGCTAACCTCCATCATTTGTTACTATCAAAATACCAGCTTGATCCTACTAGGCAAATTGTAGATTTGTATCTTGATGGTGAGTGTCTAGAACCATCTCACAGTCTCCGTGAAGTTGCTTTTCTCTATTCATTTCCTACTCGACATCAGTGTATGTGTCTTCAGTTCGTTTTTACAGAAGCATGTTCAGCTTGGTGGGGTACACCAATGCCTCACCTTGAAAGACTGCAGCCGAAACGGTCGGCTTCTTTCAAAGACCATTACAACGACTCCAATTCCGTTAATGTGTGCTTGTCAAGCCTTAATCACGCTACTAAACTGTACCAAACTTCAAATAAAAATAAAAAGAGAGCCTCATTTTAACTATGCATTTATAAAAATTGGGGTGCATTATATATATTTCTAGGCCTTTTGTAAAAAAATTTATTTTGTGTATATAAAGTTCGCATAGCCAACATCCACTAATTCAGGAGATTAACTGCCTACTTTCCTCGAAATCTCCATTAATACCTTGTGTCTTTTATAATGCAGATTTTTTATTCCTTCTTAATGATCACTTTTTCATTATCCTTAATGTGCATGCCTTTCGTTCTATTACCTCTGTTTTGAAAAAGAATAAGGATGTACAAATAAAAAAATCTTGTAATTGAGTGATCTATGTTAAACAAGTTACTTCAGATAAAAATAGTTTTTGAAGTATCACTGCTCTCATTGTCTTTCATTTTGCAGTAGATAATTTTGTCAATAAGCGGAAATTTCGACACAGCCACGCGTATACACATGATTTTCTTTTTCTTTTTCCTCTGGAAGAAATATACCTTATCCTTCCTGGTTGAGAAAAACTTATATTTCTGTAAAGATTTGTATCTCGAAATATATTTTAGTAGATAACTAGTCATGTTTTGATCCTAATTTTCTGTACCGCGTGATTGTGTTTCAAAATAATGAACATGCCTAAAGTAGTTTAGTTGAAAAACAGATCTTGATGTTCGAAAATCTTGGAGGACTTGTGAAAAATGTACTAAATGTATTATCGAACTTCGCTAGAACATGGAAAAACTTGCTATATGTCTTTGAGAATGTGTCTTAGTAGCCTGAGTAGCTGTTTGTTACTCAGCTTGGGTGAAGTAACCAAAGCTGACAGGTTTGCCTGTCTAAACAGCTTCCCTAATCAGTTAAAATGGACTTGTATTTGAGGGTTATGTATCAGCAAATACTGAAATATGTTCCTCCTTGTCAGTCGAATAACTACACATGTTACTGACAAACAGGATAATAACGCACACAAACCCCTGCCTGTTTACTGCGGATGGTATGGAACTAGGCAATATTGAAATGGAAGTTTTGAATGTAAAGCAATAACTTCCATCGATAAATTGGAACCGTGTAATGAGCAAACGGAACTTATCACAGACATGCACTAGGGCCATACATTTCGAATAGTCTAACCCCATATGGACTTTTCGAATTATTTATATGAAAATGTACGAAAAAGGTCAATTCAGTCATTAAGAAACAAGAATAGGAAGGTTAGGACAAAGTAAAATCTAAAACACACCATTCTTGGTATGAAAATTAAAATCAATATTATCAAGGTAAGTTCAGAGTAAGTGTAAATTGTTTGTGCATGCGTAAAGGAGGTCTACATTTACAAATGGGTAGAGCTCCGATAAATTTAAGCGCTCGACACTGACTAATTCCAAGTAGTAGTTTAAAGGCAGTTTTCATGTCTACCCTATGACTAGTTCCTAGTATAGGCTTAGCAATGGATAGAGATGAACGTTTATCACCTGCATTTATCGGGTCAGTTGGGGTCATTTTTTTAATAGGCCACTAAGGTAAATATGTCCAACCACCCACAACAGCATATCACGATTACTCGTGCATATATATCTGTCCCCACATATATAAGTTGATAAACACAGTGAGATTTAATGCAATCGGTTGTGTCGTTTTGGTCTGCGTTGTAGCATGGACTTTGTCTTCTCTGCTGTGATGATCTTGACTGCATAGTATGCTTTACAAATGGCTAATGTAAACTTTTTTTCGCAGTAAGGCTATGAGAATCACCTGTAAATGGTGATGAGATGTAGATATTTTCCTCAGAAACTGAGCACTGAATCCTTGTTCATCGAATGGGTACTGAACATTTTCACATGGTTGTAGCTACTCTTCCTTCCAACCTATTACGTCTGACATAAATTCACTCACACGATTGCAGTGAAACCTGTTCATGAGCATGACAATTTCAGCATTATTTCGTAGCCCATTCAGTGATTGTGATATGCATTTGGGGGTGGTTGGACATATTTACCTTAGTGGCCTATTAAAAAAATGACCCCAACTGACCCGATAGATGCAGGTGATAAACGTTCATCTCTATCCATTGCTAAGCCTATACTAGGAACTAGTCATAGGGTAGACATGAAAACTGCCTTTAAACTACTACTTGGAATTAGTCAGTGTCGAGCGCTTAAATTTATCGGAGCTCTACCCATTTGTAAATGTAGACCTCCTTTACGCATGCACAAACAATTTACACTTACTCTGAACTTACCTTGATAATATTGATTTTAATTTTCATACCAAGAATGGTGTGTTTTAGATTTTACTTTGTCCTAACCTTCCTATTCTTGTTTCTTAATGACTGAATTGACCTTTTTCGTACATTTTCATATAAATAATTCGAAAAGTCCATATGGGGTTAGATTGTTCGAAATGTATATCTCTAATGCATTACATTTTGTAGCTCACCGGCATTCTCTCGTTACTCTTCTTTCATTTTGATTTTACATCCAGTGGTTGAAGGGAATTGGTTGTGATTGTTATGGCGAATAGTTCAATTTTTATTTGATATTTTCTGTTAGGTTAGTGAGCTATATTTTTAAAGTAGCTCATCCGGTGAAATGTACGATATCGAGAACCAATCAATGGTTTCATTTCGTGTGATTGTGGACACATTTTACACTTGTTGGAATAGATTGTGTGAACAGAAAAATAGGTATTCCAATGGACGAAAAGGCGTATTCGGGCGAAGTAATAAATGGACACTTGCTTGTGAAGTTCTCGTAAGTGATAAGTAGCAAGTGCATTTGTCGCGATGTAATTTTAGTTACTTCACGCCGGTTCCCTTGGTATTATCTGTTAACAGCCTACTCATCAATGGTCACGGATGTTACGAGACTGAAATCTTCAACTAACATCGTGGATTGGGCTGATCGTGTCTCGGCATGCGTAATAAATGTACAAACCATCTCATTGGATGGTCGATGGCATTTCGGGCCTAGGACTTGTCAGACACATGCGGCACTCAAATGTGATGATTCACATAAGTTCGCTTAGTCACTATGGTGAATCTGCAAAATTTACTTTTCAAGTTTCTGGCGATTTGATGGCTAATTCTCGCAGTCTTGCTGGTGGTAGGTATAGCATTGAACACCTAAACAGGAAGTTCACTACTCGACTGGATCACAGTTGACTGCTCGACTGAACAGCACAGTGAGGACTAAAAGGAGTAGTTAAACTCCTGACCGTCTTTTTGTAATCTCCGCCCACGCACCCAATGGCTGCATTTCGGAAGGATCGAAGGATGAGTTATATCGAAAGCTGTTTAGCCTGCTATTTAGAGCCAACCGTTCAGACGTCTTTGTAGTTGTTTTCAATACAAAAGTGGGTAGGCTACATCAGACATAAAGGAGTCCCAACCGGGCAAACATAACAGCGATTACCTGCCATAACTGTGCTCTGACAGTCATTTATTTCTAGCCAGCATAAAGTTCAAACATAAGGAGAGACAGTTTCTGACTTGACGTTCACCAAAATCTTCTCAACTATGGACACAGAGAGACCATATTACTATTGAATATCGCTGGAGAGGACCAGTGGAGAGTTGCTGCTCCTTCTGAAGCACATCTTTGGGCAACGGTCATGTACTGGTTTGAGCACGTAACTCTGCGTCTAAATGGACGTAGAAAAACTTTGACAACTAGACCATCGTAATAGCAGCTTGACAATAAGAACTCTAAGAATGCTCTCAAAAAAATAACAGGCTAAACAGTCATCGGAAAAGAAGAACATCACTCATCCAGAAGGAGACTGGTGCCATCTGCAGTTTGCTGTAAAAACAGCGTTGAAGACCGTGGTTGACTCTCAGAAAGGGGTTAGGAAGTGCCAGTGGATCTCAGCAGGCTCTGAATTGGTGTACGCATGTGAACGTATTCCTGCAGGTTACAACCCAAATTTAGTCCATACAATGATGGTGAACAGTGGAGTCTATAAAATGGATAAGGCAGTTTCTATTGATGGCAGCAGACAGGTACCTGGGTTTAGAAAAGAAACTGGGGCGAAGAGGTCAGTACTTATTGAAACCATAGGGGGAAAAGATGAATGTCATTGACTCACAGAAGTGATAACTAGAGTAATACATGGGACACTTCAAATCGCCTTCAGTTAGTCTTTGGTTACCCACTATCCGATTGAATTCTAAATAGAATACTGGTAGACAACTTAAAACTGCTGAAGGTGTTAAGAAGGTCGTAAGTACCCTGAAATGATGAAGAACATAGGGGTGAGATAGTCTAGTACCGGAGGTATTTATGGAATGTGACTGATGATTACTGATGAGATTAACTAATGTCAGCTAGCGTATGGGTATCAGATACAATCCACGATGACTAGTCTCAGTCACTGATTGTCCCAATCTTCAAGATAGGGCAGAAATCCTCTTGTCATGATCACGAGGAAATCATTCTGACGATATTTATGTTTAAGATCCTCGTTTCTGTGACTACTAGACGTCTAAGCGAAGGTGGAGAACAGCAGGTGTTTGAGTACCAGATAGGTTTCAGACCTGTTCGTGGGTATATCGAGCAGATATTCACCCTACGGTTAGGCCTTGGAACCCAGACGTAGTCACTGGCCTCCAACACCAAGTGGATTTCTTTACGTGTAGGTAGCATTCTACTCTGTTGACCTAGAGATCACGTGACAGTGTTGCTCACTATGAGGGGGTGGATATGCATATCACCTTACTGAAGCATTGCATGTGAACATTCACATGGGTATTAAACCCTATGGCTTAGTACCAGGTGAGTTGTATGCGTTTAGTTGTGTTGATCAGGGATATCAACCCTCCGTTCTCATTTAGTTGGTTTTCAGACGTGCTTATACAGCTTTTCCTCCTGTCCAACTTAATAGGCATTGATCCTACCTCAATGGACTTCTTAGTAAACCAGGAGTGTGCGGATGACATATTCCTACTACTTGGAGATGCAGAGTCTTCTAGATACATCTAGGGGCAAAATGAAAATGTTCTGGGTACTCTTCTTACCTCTTGGATGCAAACTGCTACTCCGGGACTGGTCTATGTTGCCGCAGCGTTTAATAATTGGAAGTGGTGTGGTTCGACGCTCTGACCACGTAACTTACTTGGAATGTTGGATTAGCCTGGGTTTGCAGCTGACGAAACCTCTGAAGGGATAAAAACAAGCTCCATTTGCCTTATCTAACCTAAGCCATTTGTAGCACCGCCATGATGTTGGATTACCTATTAAGGACCGAGTGTAGTGGTATTTGTCCACTATATGGCTGTTTGACAGTCATTAAGGTTAGATGACTTCGGCCTCTGTAGCCTTCTCAGTATCGATATTGTCGTGGTTCCACCATGTCAGTAACGAAGAATTCAGAAGTAGGTTTTTGAGCGGAAGAGGAAGGTCATTTGATAAGGTTGTGAACCTTCATTGACTCAAGTTGCTAGGACATATGTTACGCATCGTGAGTTACCATTTGTTACATCGCTCATTGTTAGCTGAAGTAGGTTCAAGCTGAAAAAGAGGTTAAAGGCGGCTAATCTAAAACATATCCAGATTTCATAAGGTTTTTTGTTGTTGGAT